CACCCCACGTTCTTCCAAGCCCAGCTCAGCCTGAAGCCCACGTGAAGAAACCTCCACGGTTGGCACTGCATCCAAACCTAAGAGAAACGCAAAGGGGGGGGCTCTTTGAAAGCGGCCCTGGGGTCTCCTGGCCCTCCAACCACAGAGGACCCTCCCTCTTCTCAAGATGGCATCTTCCCTCTGCTTCAGCCTCAAGCCAGCCTCCAGACCACATTATTTCAAAATGTAACCTATAACTTATATATATAACTTCTTGAATTCCTCAGACCTTTACAACAAAACTGACTACGTATTTCCACCAAATGTGTACAAGTAGTAAAATTGAGCCCAACATTTCCATTGCTAGCCAAGTCAGTCGTTAAGTGAATTTTACGAACTTTCTTGCCACAGTTGCTAAGCGAATCACTGCAGTCGTTAAGTTAGCAACACGGTCGTTAAGCAAATCTGACTTCCCCCTTGACTTTGCTCTTCAGAAGGTTGCAAAAGGGGATCACGTGATCCCCCTGGGACATGGCAACCGTCATAAATATGAGATAGTTGCCAAGTGCCTGAATTTTGATCACGTGATCACAGGACGCTGCAATGGTCTTAAGTGTGAAAAACGATCAGAAGTTACTTTTCTCAGTTGTAGCTTCAGACATAAATAAATAAATAATAATAAAATATCCTAAATCAGTGTTTCTCAACCTTGACAATTTTAAGGCATGTGGACTTCAACTCCCAGAATTCCACAGCCAGCAATGCTGGCTGTGGAATTCTGGGAGTTGAAGTCCACATGCCTTAAAATTGTCAAGGTTGAGAAACACTGTCCTAAATGAATGGTTGTAAGCCATCGATTATCTGTAAAAGGTTTCCAGTCAGTCCCAAATACAGACACTGTTCTTTATTTTTCTCTGATCCAAGAAGTTTATTTAGCCATCAATTAAGGCCTCTGCTTTTTAATACGTTTGCTGACTGTGTGTGGCTCCTTCCTTGCTGGTGTCCTGATTAGAATACTACTTCTTCTTCCCGGCTTCTCTGCCTGTGAGCTGCTAAGGGAAGAAACAACCCCACACCACCACCAAAACTGGCCGGGGAAACCACAATACATAAAATAGTTCAAGAAATTCACTCCTCCTTGCACGCATGGGGTTCCCAGAATGGGAATGTTAGCTGCTGATGATTCTTTGGAGAAAACAGGTTTCTAGTCCTCATGGCACCCAATGAGGGCATCAAAGAGAGGGACCATGCCCCCCTCGAAGGAAGCATTACGCAATCCCAGGAAGGTGGGATAAACAAGACCCCCTACTTTTTCTTCCCGACAGAAAAACGCACTGCTTTCCACAAGCGTTTGCAACTGGGTGCATTTTTGCACCTCTCCCTTTCCTTGCTGGGCGAAACGCATGGAGTAAAAGTGACATTGAGGAAGGACGAAAACAAGAAGGGTGTAAAATCCCCAATTTCCCCTAGTTTGGTTCTGTTGCAGCTGTCCCGGGTGGTCCGCCCCAATTTCTGCAGCTGCGGCTTCGGTTGCAATCTGGGGGAGACGCTGCAAGGACCCCCAACTCGGGAGGAGACCGGGATCCGTGCACCGCCGCTCCCCACGTACCTGCGAGCCGTCGAAAGGAGGAGGAGGAGGAGGAGCGGCGGCGGGACGCCCAAGAGCAGTGCTGCATCAGCCTTAAAAAGAGGCAGGCGGACTACAGTTCCCAGGCATCCCCGCGGCACGTTCAGCGGGGGGGAGCGTTTCCATTGGAGACGTTCAAGGCGGGTGGACTCGGGAGATAGGAAAAGCAGAGGGGACCTGCCTGCTCCTTTGGAGGCTTCCGGAGAGTTCACATAATTGAATCCCACCACCGCCCCCGTCTTATATCAATGCTTCTCAACCTCGGAAGCTTTAATGTGGGGACTTCGATTCCCAGAATTCCCCAGCTTGGGAGTTGAAGTCCAGGCCTCTTGAAGCTTACTGAGGTTGAAAAGTGCTGCTCTACGTGATAGTTTTCTATGGTAGAATTCCTATTAATATCATTAAGCCGTGTATTCCTGGGCTCGTCCACTTTAAGGCGTGTGGATTAGGGAAGTCTGGGAGTTGAAGTCCACGCATCTTAAAAAGAGGACAGGGTCGAGGAATTCTGGTTCGGTAACGCCTGAGGATCCCCAGCTGACCACATACAAGTGGCAGAAAGTAAAGCAGGCGGGAAAAGATACTCCGCTTCCCATCCTTCTTGTATATATATATATGTGGCTTATTATATATCTTGTAACTTCCAACTATTTTCGAGTTCTGTAACTATGATTCAGGGATCACTCTAATATTTCTTGCTCTATGGCCACGTGAAGCGAACGCCGCCATCATAAAGGCGCATGCGTAATGCTTTCTGTAGTTCCGCCGAAGGGAGATAAAACTTCAATTCCCGGCATCCTCCCCTTCCTTCATCGAGCCCAAATGCAATTAAAAGGGAGAGGGGACTCCGGGTCTGTTGGGGGCTCTTGCAATTTCCTCGCCGGCTTCTTGAGCGGCTCTTAAGTGTTCCCGCCAGGACGTTCGAATGCAGCTCGTTGCAAACGATTGTGCACAACGTTACCGAGGTCGCAGGGGCTGCATTCGTGCAACAACAAACACTGGTTGACATAACAGAGTGGCCGTGTTTAGACGAACAAGCTACGATTCACACAGCAGGCTGAACCACAAAGCAACCCATTGCAGCCCATGCTCACATGTGAACCTAGCCAGAGAGGTCTGGGGTGAAAAAGGACGATCTCTGCAAGGTTTTTTGCAGGTCATTCAGTTGCTTCAATTGATTGTGATAGATCTTTTGCCAGAGGATCTGTCACTAGAGGCAGATGTAGTGACCAGATGTAGCCAGCTTGTCTTCTGTTGGCCTCCCTTGTGATGCCTCTCAGTTTCCGGCGCTTCTCTGCTCATTGTGTGCCTAAAATACTTATGCTTTAGCTTCCTTAATAGCTCTTCCGGTGCAAAATTTGGTTTTACTTCATCTAATCTTGAATAATTTGTTGTTCTTATGGTCCAAGGTGACCTCAACCATGTTCTATTGCACCAAGAGGGCTGCCCTCTCAGTAAACTAAGAATTTACTCAGTGCACAACTGAGACAAACACTGTTACAATCCCCAGCCCTGGAAATATACTGTGCCTTGGCATATAGTGGTTGGACTCAGGCAGCACACCCGTCCCTAACCCTAGTGAGGCCACAGTTGTTGGGACTGTAGAACAAAGAGGTCAGACCTATTTTGGCTCAGGTAAAATGTGCAAAGAAACACTAAGCCTGGTCACCTCCCTTTTGTGTGCACCTGGCAAGTCCCAAATAAATAAAATAATAAAGTTCATAGCTGGGCCAAGATCAGCTGTGAGAGGTTCTGATGTTCCTAGAAATCCAGAATATTCTGCTTTCTTCCTAAGATGCACCAGTCCAAAACTTCCAGGGTGGTTTGTCATTTTCTGGAACATCTAAATTTGGAAAATTACAAGCCAGCCAGGAATGATGTGTGCTAGGAAAAGCATCCTGCAGTTCCAAGGAATATCACAAGATTTCATGTCCAGAATTCACAGTTTTGCTCATCTCTACACCGAGTTAATTACCATAGTCTTCTCTCTATCAGCCCTACGCAAATCCTAACAACTTTTGACCAGATCAGTCAATCTAGATGCTTTCCAGAGGACAGAAATCTTGAAAATAGCTTATATGCAGACGTTTAGGCCCTACTAGCCACATAAAAGGTCAAATATGTGTGTCATCCTAACCCCATCAGTACACGGCTACAAGATCCTCATCTTCCATCATTCAAAGGAGGAGTGGCCATTCATTGTACACTTTAGCCTCCATCCCTCTAATAATCTGCACTCTTTCTAGGTGTCAGCATCTATTCTGCATCGTGGTAGCCAAACTGGACTCACTATTCCAAGTGTGGTCTCAACCAGGGCAGAGGTGGCCAAGTGGTTAGAATGCAACTCAAGGTTGGCTCGGCCTTCCGTCCTTCCGAGGTTGGTAAAATGAGGACTCAGATTGTTGGGGCAAATATGCTGACTCTGTAAACCGCTTGGAGAGGGCTATGAAGCACTGTGAAGCAGTATACAAGTCTAGGTGCTATTGCTATTGCTATAAAGTGGTGCTGTTTGCATGGTGTGCTTTCCCTGTACCAAAAACTCAACCCAGGCTGAGCTTGCCCAGTGCCTATTGTATATAGGCCTATTGTATATATCTTTTAATTGATTTTAAATTTTGTAGATTTGTATTGATTGTTCTGTTTTTAATTGGCTGTAAGCCGCCCTGAGTCCATTGGGAGAAGGGCGGGATATAAATGCAATAAAACTTCAAACTAAAACTTCAAACTGGGTGAAATGCAGTTGGCTAGTCCGGGACTCAGCAGCTGGGGAGAGTCAGACGGTCCTCTGGAAACAGGCGAGGATCCTTCTGTCTGCTGCTGTGGCTGAAAGGGGGAGTCGGACCTGGAGGGTCCGGTTGTAGCTCTCTGGGATGGAAGTTCTCCCCCGACGGGTCTTGCAAGAGAGCTGCCCTCGTGTCCAACATTCAGCCCTTCCCAAATTCTGGGGAAATCCACTGAAGAAAGAGGAGTTCCCCAAACCAAACCTTGTAGAGGAAATTTTTAATTATTTTCTTCAAGTCATGAAAGGTTTGATGTTCGAGGATTACAGTTCAATAAATGAGGAGCAGGACAATCTTTTACTCTTTTTAAAAAAATAACCCTGCCACACTGCTGGAAATCTCTCTCCCTGAGCCAAGAAGACATGCCGAAACACGCCCCAGATTATTCCCCCTCCCCAAACCCTTTCCCTCCCTCCTCCCTCCTCTTCCTCAGTGCTTCCGTCCTGAAAATCCAGGGGGTTTTGTAAGCAAGCCTCTCGCGTCTTGCCCTCGCTCGCGTCTTCACCCCGATTTCCACTGTTAGGTATAAAAAGAGTTTCTCCAAAAGAGGTTTGCTTCATAAGTGCAGGCCAAGGAGGCAGGTGGGTCAGGAAGAAACAGGCGGGAACCTGAGCATCCTAAATGACATTTTCGAAAAGCTGCATGGAGCTCATGATGTTCTCATCCTAGAGAAGCAGGAGAAGACGAGAGAGAAAGAAACAGAAGGCAAGAACAGAGGTTCAGAGGGAGAAAGATCTCCTGTCTCTGGCCTACGGCTTTAGTGGAGCAATTTCCTATCTGGAGGCCGTATGACCGCAATCAAACCCAAAATTTCCATTGCTAAGCAAAGGGAGTCGTTAAGTGAATTCTGCTCTATTTTATGTCCTTTCTTGCCAGAGTTGTTAAGTTAATAACACCGTTACTAAGTGAATCTGGCTTTCCCATTGATTTGGCTTGTCAGGAGGTTACAAAAGGTGACCACATGACCCCGGGACACTCCACCTGTCAAAAATACATCCCCAGTGGCCCTGGGGATTCTGCCACGGTCATAAGTGTGAAAAACAGCCATAAGTCACTTTTTTCAGTGCTGTTGTAACTTTGAATGGTCACTAAAAGAATGAGGCCTACCTGCAGGAAGAAATAGATAAAGGAAGAAGTAGAGCCCAGAGCAGGGCTAGTCAACCTTGGCTCTTTTATGACTGGTGGACTTCAACTCCCAGAATCCCTGAGCCAGCCATGCTGAGGGGAAAGGGGGAGGTTTCCAAGCTGAGCCATGCTGGCTCAGGAATTCTGGGAGTTGAAGTCCACCAGTCATAAAGCGGCCTAGGCCTAGGGCAGGGGTAGGCAACCTTGGCTCTTTTATGACTCGTGGACTTCAACTCCCAGAATTCCTGAGCCAGCATGGCTCAGTTTGGAAACCTCTCCCTTTCCCCTCAGCATGGCTGGCTCAGGGATTCTGGGAGTTGAAGTCCACCAGTCATAAAAGAGCCAAGGTGGCCTACCCCTGGCCCAGAGCGTTCCTCTTCTCCCACGGAAGTGACCCCCCTGCTTATTCTGCTTATTCCCTTGTGGCCTTGGCACAGCCTGCCTTTGGGTCCTTCCACAACTTAGAGACCTCGACTTGCGACCATAAGGAGACCCAGAATTTTGGTCATACGTCATTGAGAGCGTAAGTTGAAGCACCACATGACCAGGCTCGGTTTTACAATGATCGTAAAATGAGTCACCCCACTCACAAAGTAGATCACACGGTCATTAACTGAATTCATCATATTCGATATTCAATGTTTTTTTTCCAGCAACCGTAAAAAAAATGCCAGAAGCCAACAAAAAATATATCCCAATTCACACCAATATGGCTGCAGATGCTGCAAGTTATGGCAATTGTAACTGCAAGGACGGATCGTCGAGACATTTTTTTAAAGTCTGTCGGAGCGTCAAACAATTGTTAAGCGACCGTCATAAGTCGAGAATCACCCGTACCACTAGAGGCCAAACAGCAGGCAGCACGTGGAGACAGCCAGATTAGCTGCCCCCAGAAGAGGCTGCTTAGAGGAGTCAGGTTTGCTGCATTTATTTATAGAACCAAACCCCAAGTATAAAAATAAGCAATGTATTATCTGCTTCACTTTAGCAGCTAAAATAAGAATTGTCCACTGCTAGAAACCTCTAGCTAATGTAACAGTTGAGATGTGGATTGCCACATGAGAAAAAAAAGAGTTAAAATAATAAGGGGCAGGACCCCAATTCTATCAAATTTGGATGGATTTTATATCTTCCCTCAGTAGCAATAGATTAGAACAGGGGTAGGCAACCTTGGCTCTTTTATGACTCGTGGACTTCAACGCGTCTCCCCAAATTTCTGGAGTTTTTCTTTTTCACTGGTGCTGGAGTGTGTGTCACAAGTTGCACCAGCAACAACAACTTCAATATCCACAAAGCTTTAAACTTAGAACAAGTCCTATTCTGTGTTAAAGCTGCAGAATTCCACTGAACTCACCTTTTGACATGTCTCTAAGAACTCCTCAATGGTGACTATGCCGTCCTGATTCTTGTCCATTTTCTGCAAGAGAAAAATGCGCTTTTTGAATGGAAGGTGCCCATCCAAGGGTCTACACCAGGGGTCTTCAAACTTGGCCCTTTTATGACTTGTGGACTTCAACTCCCAGAATTCCTCAGCCAGGCATAGCGTGCCTGGCTGAGGAATTCTGGGAGTTGAAGTCCACAAGTCATAAAAGGGCCAAGTTTGAAGACCCCTGCTCTACGCTGCCCTCGGGTGGCCTGATCCGTGCCATTTGTGCAATGATGATGATTTCATAATGGCTGGATGCCTTTGTCCTGATCCCGCGCTTTAACACTTGCTGACGATGGACAGACTCCTTCATTTTACCTGGAAGAACTTTTCCACGTGCTCAAAAGGAGCGTCTTCCCGCACGATCGGGTAGGTGTAGCGGCCCATCATGTCATAGATGGATTTCATGATTGCCAACATCTCCTGGCAGACAAGGAGAACAAAGCTTTGACAGCAGCACATCAATATAACAGAATAACAGAGTTGGAAGGGATCTTGGAGTTCATCTAGTCCAACCCCCTGCTTCCGACAAGCTACGTCAACAGAGGAAGCCAGATCCACTTAACAACTGCAGTGATTTGCTAAACAACCGTGGCCAAAAAAGATTGTAAAATCTGCCACCGCTCATTGAACAACCGCCCTGCTTAGCAAATGAAATTCTGATTCCAGCTGTGGTTGTCAGCCCAGGGCTACCTGTCAGGGGTTGCAGGGTGGGGGGGCAATTGCCCCTGGCTCTTGGTATCAAAATAATATTTGGCTAGTACCTCCTTGGTGATGTAGCCGTCCTTGTTGATGTCATAGAGGTTAAATGCCCAGCTGAGCTTCTCATGCACTGTGCCACGCAGCAAAACGGAGAGGCCGATGACAAAGTCCTGTTCAAGACAACAACACAGAGAGAGACCAGTCACAGCCTAGCAGCACGGCAAGTGGGGGGGGAGACTGTATGCCAGGCTTGCCAAGACTTAAACCTCTAAGTAGAAACGATCCTTGGCTCCATTTGTTGAGAGAGGTTATAGTTTTATTAGAAGCCAAGTGCATCGCAGTAATGCATAGCCAGAACTAAGAATCGTGCGGCAACACCCCTACATTTCACTCCCCCCCCTGTAGCTCAGCTGCCCCCAACCTTTTGGGCACCAGGGACCAATTCCATGGGGAGAGGTTTTTTCACAGACTGGAGGCGGTGTGGTTTTGTATGCTGCCTGCATCCCACGGATGGGGCTTTGCTTGTTTGCGCTGACCGGTTCCTGCCATGACGCAGACCAGTGGTGGTCCCTGGACTGGGGGTTGGAGACCCCTGATCTAGCTGTCTCCCATCGCTGCCCACCCTATGCCCAGTCAGGTTCAAGATGTTTTCAGAATGGTGACTTCAAGTGAAGGTTTATATGCAGCTGCCTTCTTCTCCCAACCGGACGACCAGGGAGATACAGCAAAGGGCGTTACAGCAGTTACTGTCCCTTTCCCCAAGTAGCCATTATTTCCACTTTACCCCCAAGCATCCCCTCTCCAGCCCTCCCCATAGTCCATGGCAGACTGTCACCGCATGGTGTCAAAGCACAAGCGAGGGTGAGTGGGCAGTTGCCGCCGTACTTGGCTTGTGTTGAAAGCAAAGACACCTCCTTAACTAGGTTAAGTTATTCAGCAGTTCCTAATTCTAAGGACTCCTCCCAAGGATCACGATTGTCAGATTCCCTGGATGGTTACAAAGGGACCATTAGAACTCTTGTTCGTGTCACATTGCAGAAATTAATTTGTCCCAGTCTTGAAGTTAAACAAGCCACTGGAGGGGTATGAATGCAGCAGTTAATATTTAACGCACCCAATTAAGTGTTTAGGAATAGAACAGAATTACCATACACAAAATTACATAGAATCCTAGAGCTGGAAGGGATCTTGGAGGATACATATTTTAAACCAATTTTAAGACACGTGGACTTCAAATCCCAGAATTCCCCAGGAAGCAAGCTGGGAAATTCTGGGAACTGAAGCCTCCCCGTCTTAAAAACGGCTGAGACTGAGACTCTTAAAGGGCACGTGACGCCTCACAGATCACTTCCTTTCATATTAATGTGATTTCTTTGCTTCTAATTTTGGATTCAGAATTTCGTGTTCCTGTTTTTCAGATCTAGATTTAGTTGGATGAGCCTCTGTCCAAAAGGCTGCAACGAACCAGTGCACAATTATTATCTGCGATTTTTCAATGGACATAATTGCTTTATTTATCAAGTTACCTCACAGCTTCAGGACAACTAAAAGGATTTAAAAGGGCAAACTTGTACATCTGCATATGAAATTGCTGCCTTTTGCATCTTTTCCGCCAAGTAAAAATGCATTTTTCAGAAATAACGATATTCAGGCATTGTGCTCAATTTTTTAATTAAACTTTTCTTACAGTGTCCACCCACTCCTCTCTTTTCATCAAATTAAGGCAACTTGCATACACTACAAAGACATTGCAATCAGAACCACTGTATACAGGGGCTTCAGTGGAGGGGTGCATGCCAAAAAAATAAAGATATCTTTAACAATGCAAGTAGTTTGCTTTAGTTTGGCAAGATTTCTGTTTAAACTATAAAAGAAACTGCTTTGAAGTAACTCAGCATGTCGTTTTTGGGGTCTGAGTCTACAGCATTCCTCTGCAAATCAATTAAAAAGGAAACAAATGTTTAGAAGCTGTTTGAAGAAAACCCAACTCAGATGTTCAACAGAAGCTGGAACACAAGTTTTCTAAGCTGGGGTAATAAAATTATAACATTTCAAGGGCAGTGTAGAAGGTAACCAGGCAGAGGGAGGGGTCAAGCATGTCATCAGTCTTGAGTCCCTTCACATCACCAAAGATCTAAGTCCAGCCCACCTTGCTTTGACCGTTAGTAGCTCAGATTCTTGTAGAAAGTGTTGGCATGCAATAAACCTGCATTCATTTGAACTGCTCTGGCTCCTGATTTCTTACAGGCAGAAGGAAGAATAACCTTGAGGAACAGGAGGAAACGCCTCAGCCAAGATAAAGGAAATCTGAGTCTGGGACAGAAATGTAATTTGAGAAAACAGGTCAGACTTGACCCTCTCTAGTTTCCACAATGATCCCTTGAAGATAAAAGGAGGAAGGAAGAAATGCATTTAGATTTTATTTCTATAATCTTATAAAGGAGGTAGTAGTTTTAGTATTCATAACTTTGGTTTTAAATTTGGTCTCCTTTGAATGTCTGGCATGCCGAGAGCAAGGCAATCCATTGGGCTGAGTGGCGAGGCAGCTCCAAAATGAGAACCACGGATATTTTGCCCAAAGGTTTCATTTAATGGCGTAACATCTATTAGCCCATTTCCTCCAATCTGAGTTTAAATTCTTGTTCTATTAATGGGAAGGCAGGCAGCTGCTCCAAACCCTCCCTATCTATCTTTCTCGGTCTAATCCTGTTTAATGGCTCCTTTCCGCTTCATCTCCATGTTCTAGAACAGGGTTCTTCAAACTTGGCAACTTTAGATTTGTGACCTTCAACTCCCAGAATTCCTCAGCCAGCCATGCTGAGGAATTACATGCTGGCTAAGGAGTCCTCAAGTCTTAAAGTTGCCAAGTGTGGAGATCCCTGTTCTAGAAAGCAGGTTCCACAGCTTTAGCAGCATACATAAATCTCTTCGATCTACTGCAGGGAAGCATTTCCAGTTCCTTTCAGGATGACTGCCTTGTCTCCATAGGAAGAGCAAACCTTCCAAGATATAGAAAATTCACCTTACTTCAAATCGAATGGCTCCGGTCCGGTCCACGTCGAAAGCATTAAACAGGAAGTGGGCATACATGGTGGCATCTGCAAAGGAAATGGCAGAAGCAGATGAGGTACCAGCCCGAAGAGTTTTTCTTATGCCCCGTAGGATGCTTCCCTGGGACTCCATTGGAGATACCCCATTGTTGCCATCAGAGACAAATGAAATAAGGTTGCTTAGGCTGAGCAAGGACTGGATGTCGTGCTCCCCAGAGTCTTCGGCACCCCACTTTTTATTTTATTTAATTTAATTTAATTTTGGCCTCCAAACTGAGCAGACCAAGAGAATATTTTTGAACCCAGATACAAGCTAGGCTGGAAAACAAACACCATCCCAGAAAGAACCATGGGCAACCATTTTGGTTCTGTTGTGAAGGAAAGGATTCATAATAGGTCCATAAAATCACAGAGAATCAAGCTTGTCTCAAGGATGATTTCATTACAGGTAGTCCCAACTTACAACTATTCATTTAGTGACTGCTCAGAGATACAATGGCACTGAAAAAAGTGACTTATGACCACTTTTCACACTTACGACCACTGCAGCATCCCCATGGTCACGTAATCAAAATCTGGATTCTTGGCAACTGACTCGTCTTTATGACGGTTGCAGTGTCCTGGGGTCACGTGATTTCCCCCTTTCGTGACCTTCTGACAAGCAAAGTCAATGGGGAAGCCAGATTCACTTAACAACCGGGTTACTAACTTCACAACTGCAGCAATTCTCCTAACCAACTCCTAAGTTAAATGTTAAGAGTTGAACTCAACTCTCTAACCTGGCTGGGGAATTCTGGGAGTTGAAGTCCACTCATCTTCCAGTGGCCAAAATAGAGACATGATGAATATAAGCTATTGAGATGCATGGCGGACTCACCTCCCTGGGGAAAGAATTGGGCATAGATGAGCTTGAAGGTCTCTTCATCCACGAGGCCGCTGGGACATTCCTGAAGACAAACCACACAGAAGTTACACCTGGCAGGGACAACTTCCTACCCTGACTCAGCCTTTGGAGTCCAGCTCAGATTTTCTTCTGCTTCTCCCTTTCTTTCTTGACTAGAAGACCTCCAAGGTCCCTCCCGACTCTGTTATTCTGTATTCTTTTATGCTCACACAGCTGAAACCTGGAGCAAAAGCTGTGGATGTGCCAACTGGTTTTGGATTATCCTCCAAGGGGAGCCGGGCTGTGGCTGCCCCAAGACGTGAGTCAGAAACTACAGGCCGGGTTGCATATTTTACAGCTGCTGCCAAGAGCCGAGCATTACAGGAAAGCGATTAAAGATACATGAGGCCGAAGACAGAGGTGGTTTCCTGGGAGAGAGGGAAGTTCTCACAAGCTCCCCTGGCTTCCTGCCCAGGCTGAGTCAACAGCCCAGCTCGGTGCCAGCGGGGCCATCTTGAGAAGCAGAGATGAGCCTTGGGGTCCTCTGAGTGTTTTTCTGGAACCGCACCGTTTCTCTTTGGGAAGGAGATGCTGTGAATTGTTGGGGGAAGACTTTCAGGCAACGCCATGATGAGATTCACATCCATAGTGCTAAGGCTGGAGAACTTGTGTGTGTGTGTGGGGGGGGGGCTGGGGGCCTGGGAGATCTGTGTCAGAACTGCAGGATTTGCAGATGGTTCCCGGTGTGTACAGATGTGTGTACATCTACCCACAGGCACATATACACACCATATTATTTTAGGGTTTCCATTGGAGTACCTTGGCTCAATATAGAACTTCATAAAATCCTAGAGCTGGAAGGGACCTTGAAGGTCCTCTAGTCTAACTGCCTGCTCTAGCCAGGAGTCCAGGAGTCCTTATTCCATCACGCAGGAAACGGCTCTGCTAGGTTTTGACTACGGTGATACGGGCTGCAAGAAAGAGTTGGGGACTGCCCGTTGTGTCTCGCTATGCTAATCCAGACTTTGAATAACCACCGTTTGTTGAATAAGCCCCATGTGAAGGATGAATGGGAACCAAAATCCCCCCTTTCATATTGGACAGGTTGAATGGGATCCATTGCTGTTAGAAACATGTAACCGAAACAGGGCAATTTCAGAATAAGAAATACAGAATTGGAGATGATCTCAGAGACCATCTAGCTGAGCCATCTGCTCAGGGCAGAATACACTATGTAGCCTCTGGTGAAAGACCCTTCACCCCTCGTGACCAGTCCTGGAAGCTTGTGAAGACTTTGTGATAAGCAGTTTTGAGTAATGAAGGAAAAAAGTTTGGGTAGCACTGCTCTAAAGATGGTGAAATAAAGAAATCACAAATGTCACAGTGCCTCTGTGTGCGTACATGAGAGAGGATGTATATTCTAAAAGCATCTATTTAAAAAAATCAATTTTTTAAAAAAAGAGAGAGAAAAGAAGAAGCAGAAACACTCACGTTCTTGAAACCTCTATAGAGGGACTGCAGCTCCTTTTTGGTGAATTTGGTTAGAAGTTGGAGCCGGTCCAGCCCTTCAGGTTGATGCCGGATGGCTGAAAGTTCCAACTCGCTGTCGCTGCTGTCTGTGAAAAGAAGCCAACGGGCAACATTCACGCTCCACTGTGCACACAAAAGGCACCACTTGGATTACAGGCAATCCTCGACTTACGACCACTTATTTAGCGACCGTTCACGGTTACAACGGCACTGAAAAAAATGACGTACGGCCGTTTTTCACAGTTACGTCCTTTGCAGCATCCCCACGGTTATGTCCTCAAAATTCAGACCCTTGGCAACCGGTTCATATTTACAACGGTTGCAGTGTCTTGCAGGTCACGTGGTCCCCTTTTGCCACCTTCTGACAAGTCTATGAGGAAGCCAGATTCACTTAACAACTGGGTTACTAAGTTAACAATTGCAGTGTTTCACTTAACGACTTTGACAAGAACGCTTGTAACAACAGAAAATTTGGGCTCAATTGTCGTTGTAAGTCGAGGACTACCTGTAATAGAAATAGAAAATGAAGACGCTAAAGTCGCCCTGGCAACTGCCACACAACATGCCAGACTGAACAACTGTCGACAAAAAAGAGGGAAAAAAAGTCTGGGCACTGGACGTGGCAGTACATGGAGACAACAGAACGGAACTGAAAGTACTGGAGAAGACAACGAAATAGCAAGACCTGCACATGGACGTAGAACTGCTGTGGCAAAAGAAAGCAAAGCTGGCCACAACAGTCACTGGCGCCCTGGGTGCAATCCCCAAACAGCTGGAGCCCAGTAGCCCCAAAGCATCTGGAAAGCATCAGGTGATTGACAGTTGTCACAACACGAGGCATTGCTTTATGCTTTAAAAAGTCACAGGATGCAACTTCAGCAAATAAATATCTCTGTTGCAACCACACTGCCCTCCCCCCCCCAATTCTTTTGCCTAGTCCAGGATCTTGTGGTTTGAGGTATTTGATGCTGGCAGAAGAGATCAGTCAACCCCCCCCCCACTTGCAAGCCGGATGCCGGTGGAGAAAGGACCTTCCCTCCTGACTCAGCAGAACCACCTTTATGCCATGGGGGCTACGGGGCCTCCTCTCCAATCGCCTCCAGTCTCCCAGATTCACTGCTGTGCTTTTCCTCACCTTAAGACGATCTCTGTTTGACAGATTTATGATGATTAGGTGTTTTTTTTTATTAGTATTACTTTTCCCAAACAAGCCCTGAAAGGCAGCGGGAGATTGCCTGCTTCTGGGCAAGGGCAGAGCAAGGCATGACACAGCAATGGTGGGGAGCTTCGTTCAAAAACAGGATGAGCAGCACCCAAGAGCCAGGCTAGACCCACCCCAAGCTTTTGGCTAGAAAGGCTGACTCAGCCCCACATGAGCTGGTTATGTGGGCTCCTGGGGGTCTCAAGTGCTCCTCCCCTGTTTCTCCTGAGACATCTGGGGCAATTCTCTCCTCTTTGCTTTTTTTCCTTCCCCTCCCTCCCTTTTTCTATTTCTCCTTCCTTCCTTCCTTCCTTCCTTCCTTCCTTCCTTCCTTCCTTCCTTCCTCCCTCCCTCCCTCCCTCCCTTCTTTCTATCGCTCCTTCCTCCATCCCTTCTATCACTCCTTCCTTCCTTCCTTCTTCCCTCCGTCCCGCCATCCCTCCCTCCCTTGTCTCCTTTTTTCCTCCCTTCTCTCTCTCTCTCTCTCTCTCCCCCCTCTTCCCTCCCTCCCCTCCTGCAGGGCTTTTGCCAGGGTGCCAATGACGAGACAAGGGGAGACATGGCCATCCTTGAGGCCCCTTTGGATGTGTTTCAGGTTTTTGATTTAAGGCTCCGGCAAGCAAGTTTTTCTCTTTGATTGGTATTTTATCATGGAGTGCTAAACTCCTTTTAAGGGTTACCGATTCCCTGCCACTGCATTGTGCTGGACAGTTGAGGATGGTGTTTCTTTATTTTCTAACAATTTATATGGCAGTCCATTTTGCTCCCACAACCCTGGGCAGCTCGCGATATATTAAAAGTGTACAATAACAGAGATAAATTAGAGCAACAGAACACAGCACAACTCGGGTGACATAAATAACTCACACCTCCCATCCTCTGATCATTCAGGTGGGCTCACCAACTCTTGAGACATCTGTGGCAATTCTCTCCTCTTTGCTTTTTTTTCCTCCCTCTCTCTTTCTATTTCTCCTTCCTTCCTTCCTTCCTCCCTCCCTCCCTTCCTCCCTTCTTTCTATCACTCCTTCCTTCCCTTCCTTCCTTCTTCCCTCCCTCCCTTCTTTCTATCACTCCTTCCTTCCTTCTTTCCTTCCTTCCTTCCTTCCTCCCTCCCTTCTTTCTATCACTCCTTCCTTCCTTCCTTCCTTCCTTCTTCCCTCCCGCCATCCCTTCCTCTCTTGTCTTTCCTTCTTTTTTCCTCCCTTTTCTCTCTCTCTCTCCCCTCCTGCAGGGCTTTTGCCAGGGTGTCAATGAAGTCTCACCAGGATGGGATCAACTGAACCTAACAGAGGGAAGGCTATTCCCGAAGGCAAGTGTGACAGTAGAGGAGTTGTGTTTTCTGGGTCTCACTAAATGAGATTACCTCAGGGAAGGGACCTGGAGCAACAACAGGAGAGAAGCAGAAACATATTTTCATCCCTTTCCCTCCATATAAACACATGGGCCACACATACACACACCGGAATTAAATGCATCAGGTGATGAATTGGAAAGCAGCACTGAGATCACCTCTTCAATCATCTGCCATGTGCAGGACAGCCAGTTAAACCTCCTCGGCAGGTAGTTCTCCACAAATGCATTTGCAGAAGCAGAATTACAGAATAACAGAGATGGAGGTCTTCCGATCCAATCCCTTACTCAAACAGGATACCTTATACCATTCCAGACAAGTGGATGTCCACTTTCTTTAAAAAAAACAAACAAACCAGTGATGGAGCACCCACAACTTCTGGGAAGCCATTCCCCTGGTTAATTGTTCTAACTGTCAGGAAGTTTCTCCTTAGTTCTAGGTTGCTTCTCCCCTTGATTAGTTTCCATCCGTTGTTTCTTGTCCTGCCTTCAGGCACTTTGGAGAATAGGTTGACCCCCTCTTCTCTGTGACAGCCCTCTTCTTTGTGGCACCCCTTCAAATATTGAAGCTCTGCTGTCATGTCTCCCCTGATCCTTCTTTTCACTAGACTAGACCACCAAAATCATGTCTTCAACCACCTGTAATGTGCAGTGAAACTGATTAAACCATATTTGGTAGGCGGCTCTCCACAAATGCATTTGCAGAAGTTCAGAGTTCCTCTCTGGGCTAGTCTTTCACCAGAACTCTGCCTTCAATCCCCTTTCTTTAATAAGTCCCCTAACTCTGATCAACAGCCATCTGTCGTAGGAGTTGCCATCCATTGGGCGGAATTCTGAATTTGGAAGAGCAGGGAGTGAAGCTACATTTGCCCCGGATTGGGGTTGTCAAGAAAACGGAGCTTTTCAGACACTTCCAATATGTTTTCCTCTTTATTTTTGCATGAACCAAGATGTTGCTCATTCCCGCATTCAGTTTGCACACTCTACATATTTTGCCAAGCTCTGAAACTTTTTACCTATGATGTCATGGTTTGGCAGATAAACAATTAAACTCTGGTGCTTCACAATTATGTTTAAATTAAGGGATGCCCTGCAGGGAATGGAACTGGAGGTACTTAAAAGCTGAAAACAATTGATGTTGAGGTGGTCTGAAGTAGTTTTAAAGAAGGGTTGATGCTGGCTGTGTCTCCAATAACCTTGTTTGCAACTCTGCTAAATCAAGTCAGCAAATTCTTTCTGGCTCTTTTTACTTCAAATCATTTTGGATCACAACACACTCTAGTATGGGGAAATCTATTCTCAAACCACTTCTAATTTACTCTAAAGCTACTGCCTTTTCAGTCACCCAAGTTTCTAAAACTTTTAAGAAACCTGGGTAAAATATTTTTTTTAGCTCCTGTTCACCTCCTTTGCCTCTCAGTATCCTGTCTCAATTTAATTTCTTTCTGCATTTGGGTCTGGGTGTGAGGTGAGGATACTGTGGACAATTTTCCAACCAGGAGTCATATCAAGAAAAGATCGTGTATAGTCTGTGCAAATTTCCCTTGCCAATTGCCCAACTCCTGGTTTCATCTGACTATTTGCTTATAAGATCAGAGTAATAAGGATATCTTAAATGGAAAACTGGCAGCTGTGAAATAAGAAAACAGTTTTCGGTGTCACCTTTTCCAAAAAATGCTCCTGGATCCCACAAGGGCCTCCGACGCATTCTTGGAAAACTACAAGGGTGGCAAATGGACTTTGCTGGCAAGAAGTAGCCAAGAAGATGGCCTTAATGAGCCTCTCTAGGTATTGTTGCCAAGAAGCAACAGATGGAAACTAATCAAGGAGAGGACCTCTAGAACTAAGGAGAAAATTTCATGACAATGAAAACAATTACCTGTGGAACGACTTGCCTTCAGAACTTAGGGGTGCTCCATCACTGGAGGTTTTTAAGAACCATTTGTCCAGAATAGTAGAGTCTCCTGTTCGAGTAGGGGGTGGGACTAGGAGACCTCCAAGATCCCTTTAACTCTGTTATTCTGTCAAAACAACAGTCCAAGAGGCGATTGGAGTCCTCACATTTAAATTGGGTTGTTGTTGTTAGTTGCAAAGTCGTGTCCGACCCATCGCGACCCCATGGACAACGTTCCTCCAGGCCTTCCTGTCCTCTACCATCTTCTGGAGTCCATTTAAGCTCACGCCTCCTGCTTCAGTGACTCCATCCAGCCACCTCATTCTCTGTCGTCCCCTTCTTCTCTTGCCCTCCATCTTTCCCAGCATTAGGCCCTTCTCCAGTGAGTCCTTCCTTCTCATTAGGTGGCCAAAGTACTTGAGTTTCAACTTCAGGATCTGGCCTTCTAAAGAGCAGTAGATGAACTGGGTAGATGATGACAAATCCCTTGGGAAGGAGGGAAGGAGGCAGGGAACAACTGCCCTAATTTGTCCTCCTGAGAAACGGAACCTACTTTTGTCCTAAAATATTTGGACTGCAAAAACCCAGGTGATCTTTAGATGACAGCAAAGAGTTGAGGGCTGTTGCCACCTAGGAGTGACCTGGGTTTTTCAGCCCATTTGTGACAGCCCTAACGCATCTGGGTCATATCTTCTTTTGCAGGCTCTGAGCTGATTTTAATCATGCATTCCCTTCCCAGCCAGCCAGAGCCCCCCTCTGCTTGACTTCATCCAAGCTGGCCGAACTTTCGGGCCCATCTAGAGAGGGTGGTGGTCGCCATGGATGGTCAAATCTCTCAGCCCAAGCTACCCCTTAGCTGTGTGGAAAGATTGGAGAAGAACGTGGTATGTGTGCCCCGCTGAGCTTCTGGAGGAAAGATGAGATGGGGTTTATAATGGAGGAATCAATCGATCAATCAATGATTGGGCAATAAGATCTAAGGTGTGGGTGCTCCAACATTGGAGGCTTTTAAGAAGGGACTGGACAACAATTTGTCGAAAATGAAATAGGGTCTCCTGCTTGAGCAGGGGGTTGGACTAGAAGACCTCCAGGGTCCCTTCCGACTCTGTTATTCTGTTATGTTCTACTGCCTTCCTGCAAACAGGACCAACCAACCTGCCCTTTTGAAGATAACAATCCCCCCCCCCCCGCCCTTGATTTGTGGTTCCAAGGAAGAGTTCTGCGGAATGCAGAAGCTTCGTGTCAGCGATGCTTTCTGTGTTTATCTCAGGTAACTGGAGAAGACAACAATCTCAGCTTTCAGAAGATTCCTTCAGAAGCCAGGAGAGGAGAGCAGCAGCGGCCAATGAAAGGAGAGGCTGGCCTACTGTTTACTGCCAGTTTGGTCAGAGTAGTAAGTCAGGAAGGAAAATGGAAGCGGGGAGGTTTGGGACGGTAGCATTTAACGAAGGGAAGACTTTACCAGCAAGATCTTGGATGGGAATCAAAGAAGTTTGGAAAGAGAGAAAGGGAGAGAGAAAGAGAGATAGATACAGAGAAAGGGAGACAAAAAGAAAGAGAGAGAGAGAGAGAAGAAAGAGAGAAAGGGAGAGAGAGAGAGAAAGAGAGAGAGAGAGAGAGAGAGAGAGAGAGAGAGAGAGAGAGAGAGAGAGAGAGAGAGAGAGAGAGAGAGAGAGAGAGAGAGAGAGAGAGAGAGAGAGAGAGAGGGAGAGAGAGAGAGAGAGAGAGAGAGAGAGAGAGAGAGAGAGGGAGAGNGAGAGAGAGAGAGAGAGAGAGAGAGAGAAAGGGAGAAAGAGAGAGAGAAAGGGAGAGAGAGAAGGGGGGGAATGGAGTCATGTCAATCAAAGAGTCAGCAAAGGCCCATTCCCAAGTTACCTTCCATGGACATGGGTTCCAGGATCCCGAACTGTTTGAGGACCGCGATGAACAGGATGATGACCACAGCCACCGCGCAAAGCTCCATCCCTTGGATCGCCATGGCCAGCCGGTCTCCTGCGATGGGCGCAGGGCAGTGCCGGGGGGCATGTGATTCGCAGCCCCCCTCCGGGGCCGGGCCGGCTCCCCTGGGAAGGCGAGTGCCGAGGCGCCCGGGTGCCAGCAAGCCCACTGCCTGCACCCAGCCGGCTCACATCTTCCAGTCCTGGGAAGGCTGCCGGGCCAAGCCCCCCCTTCAGGTTTGCCCCCGGGGCCGTCGCGGGGCAGAAGCGGGCGCCGGCCAGGAGGAGGAGGAGGAGGAGGAGGAGGAGGAGGGCAGACCGGGGCGGGCGGGGGCGGCGCGGCACCCGAGGGGGCAAACCTCTCCTGCCGGGCTCATGAAGGAAAACGAGCAGGCAGCGGCCAGCCGGCAAACTTTCAAAACTTGGCCGGAGAAAGTTCTCCCAGCGGGAAAAGGTCCCGGTGGCCGAGCAGCTCCGGCTTCTTCCCAGGCTGGGGCGATGGCATGGCTCCAGAGCCTCCCCGGGTCCTCCGCCGCCGCCGCCGCCTGCCTGGTCCGGCGCAGGAGCCTGCAGGGGTCACCCCGAGTTCCTCCGAAGCACCCCGGACGCCCTGCAATGCACCGCCGAGGCCGGAGGAGAGAGCCAGTCGCCTGATCGCTGCTGGCATCCCGGCTGGCTGCGATGCCATTGGTTGCAAGGGCGGCTATAGAATATCAGCCCCCACCCAGAGGGGGGGGGAGGAGGAGGAGGAGGAGGCTGGGAGCTTCTCCTCTCGGTCCTGGCACAGCCATCCAGGATGCAGGAGATCAGGGTCACCATGGCGACGACGCTGTGGTCCAGCCTCATCCCACGGACGGCAGGCATCAAGTGCAGCCTCTCCTGGGCAGCTGGTCTCAGAGGCCGGGTGGGAGAGCGGGGCAGAGGTAGACAGGCTCAAGCTTTGGGGCTGGGGGTGGCGAAATGAAGAGGCTTAATCTTGGAGGTCTCCGGGTTCGTTATTTGGCTGCTCAAAGTAGGACAAGGGTCCTCCACCCCCGTCTCCTCCAAGATCAAATTTCAACATTTGCATTTTTATCTGGTTGTTAGCCGCCCTGAGTCCGCAAGGAGAAGGGCGGGATATAAATATAAACAATAAATAAATAAACAATAAATAAATGAACACCAAACATCTTTTTCCTTTGCCCTTTTCAGTTGTTAAAAGCCAGCGCCCCTGAGCGTGACTTCTCCTGAATGGACGGGTGTCTCAGAGAAAATTAAGAGTGATTCAGGGTGCGGGTTGAGGGATATCCTTGTGAAAACGTGTGGGGCAGGTGGGGAACCCTTTTTTTAAAACGCCCTTGCCCCCCAAAGCTGCTGCCTGCAAGGCTCGCAGGGTGATTTAGAAATGGCCCCTTCATAGGCAGTTTTGGAGTGGAGAGGAATTGGAGAGGAATCACTTCAAAAATGTGGCCAATATAAAAAGTAGCCCTCAGCAATGACTAGTTCTGGAGCCAAGGGAAGAGCTTCCCCTTTGGTCACTATATTATAAAAAAGTTGTTGAGACTCTAGAAAGAGTGCAAAGAAGAGCAACAAAGATGATTAGGGAGCTGGAGGCTAAAACATAGGAAGAACAGTTGCAGGAATTGGATATGGCTAGTCTAAAGAAAAGAAGGCCCAGGGAAGACATGAGAGCAGCATCCCAATATTTGAGGGGCTCCTATGAAGACAAGGGGGGCACTTTATTTTCCAAAGCCCCAGAAGGCAGGACAAGAAACAATGGATGGAAATTAATCAAGGAGAGAAGCAACCTGGAATTAAGGAGAAACGTCTAACAGTGAGGACAATTAGCTTGCTTGTCTCTAGACGTGCTCCATCATTGGAGGTTTTTAAGAAGAGACTGGATAGCAAACTTGTCTGCAATGGTATAGGATCTCCTGCTTGAGCAGTGGGATGGACTAGAAGACCTCCAAGGTCCCTTCCATCTCTGCAATTCTGTTAGTCTCCATTTTTCCATGACAGATTCTTCCATCTCTCATTTCCATGTCTTCATCACAATCTCCAGCCTGCTTCCCTCCAGATGTTCGAGACTTCAGCTCCCATCCTTTGCCTCCACAGGACCACCTGCAGCCTGGGCATCTTTGAAAAATCCAGTCAGTTTGGATTGTGAGCTGCATGCATCCCACCGGAGTTATAAAAGGAAAAAAATGAAAAACCTGCGCTCTCCGTCCTTTTTGCAGATGGATCGCCACAATTTAAGAATGTTGCCTTCATCAGGAAATGATTTTAAAAAGCTCAATCACTCCGAGCAGAGAGCACAGGGGATGCTGCTTTGTGTCCTGTGGCTTAGCAAGTTTATGCCCCTTATCTTTTTCTCTTGTGCAGCGGTTTTTTAATTATTCATTTTAAGTGCTGAATGACTGAGAGACAAGCTTGTTCTTAACCTCACAAAAAAGGACAGCACAAATCACATGCGAGGAGAGGAGCAAGCATAAAACCAATTCATTTAAAGGGGGGACATAAACCATTTCCTTCCAAGAAAGGAGAAACTCCGCCTTAATATAAAATCGTGTAGCAGGTAATTCCACTGGATACTCATGCAGGAGACAAAAAGTGATAGAGACAATCAGTGAAGAGCACATGAGATGCATGCAAAAAAAAAAACCCCACCCCAGTTTGGTCTAGTGGAGAAGGCACCAGATTAGAAATTGGGAGAGTATGTCCCACCTTAAGCCTAAAAGCCGGCTGGGTGACTTTGAGCCAGTCATTCTCTCTCAGCCCAACCCACCTCACAGGGTAGTTGTAGGGAAAATAGATAGAGGAAGGAGTATTATGTATGCTTGCCACCTTCAGTTACTTACGGACAAATAATAAAGGTGGTAGGTAGGTAGGTAGGTAGGTAGGTAGGTAGGTAGGTAGGTAGATAGATAGATAGATAGATAGATAGATAGATAGATAGATAGATAGATAGATAGATAGATAGATAGATATAGATAGATAGATAGATAGATAGATAGATAGATAGATAGAGATAGATAGATAGAGATAGATAGATAGATAGATAGATAGATAGATAGATATAGATAGATAGATAGATAGATAGATAGATAGAGATAGATAGATAGATAGATAGATAGAGATAGATAGATAGAGATAGATAGATAGATAGATAGATAGATAGATAGATAGATAGATAGATAGATAGATAGATAGATAGATAGATAGATAGATAGATAGATAGATAGATAGATAGATAGGATGAGGGCCTAGAAAGAAGACATTGATCCCTGTTTCTCTCCGTGTAAAATATTAAAGATGTTTAAAGGGATAAAAGCTGCAAGGCTGTCTTCTCTCCACCCAGGGTGCATTAGCAAAGATTGGCCAGCCAATTTGATGGATGCCATTGGGCAATCCAGGGATGCTTCGGCTGCTTTGCTGGCCTCCTCGCTAGAAGCATCTCCCCAAAGATTTTGTTTGGGCCAGCGTCCAAAACAGAGACTTCTGTGTTGGTAATAAAGATCTCTTCCAGCAAAGTGTTAGAAAGAGAGCGAGGATTGAATGGTTGGGTGCCCAAGAGGCCTTTGCTGGAGGTGGCCAGGTGGGGGAAGGGAATGCGGCCGGCCGTATCTTTGCTCCAAAGCCTAAGCTCGGGTTGCAAGTCAAAGAATAACTTACAACAGGATCTGAAAATGCTTTCAAATCCACTCCATTTTGCAGTCTCCACCAAGCTCCATCTAAATCCTGTCTGGTCCCACCTTAATTCCACCCCACCTGTCAATGCTTTTAATCTTCCTCAACACTGGGAGAAATTCAGACATTCTATCCACCCCAGGTTGCTTATTCAAACTCTTTCCATCCTGAGACAGATTCCATGCTAGAAGCCATCAATGGCCAGTTTGGTCTAGTGGTGAAGGCACCAGGCTAGAAAGCGGGAGACAGCGAGTCCCACCTGAACGAAATCCAACAGTAGTAAGGGTGAAAGATTGAAAACAAGTGCCTGGCACATTCTGGAAGCTCAACAGAAAAATGAGACAGAAAAATGAAATACTGGATCATTGCTTCACCAACTGCCAAAAGTACACCTAAATTGCAGCAGTCATAAATAATAGCAAACAGATATCTGAGAGTATAATAACTTAGGCTGCCCCAAAGGCAAATGTTTCCCATTTTTTTCCTCTTTAATGCTGTATTTCCAGTGAAAATGGAGTTGGAAGTGGAATCCACTGGAGTTGGGGGACCAGTAAATTATATAAGTAAATTTCATCCATGGTCAAAAGAGTCAAGATGGCAGCCAGATCCATGAAAGCAAAGCCACTATTTTGACCTCTCTCCCACTCTCCCATAGTCACCCCAGTCCCTGATGTTTTTGCTAAAGCCACGAGTTCAATTGATTAGTCAAAATGAGCACAAAAATGTTTAACTTAAAGCACGGAGAGCTGTAGGGACATGATCTGTCAGAGGTGGGTCTCTGCTCGCCTCCCACCACCCAATAAGAGAGAAGAAAAATAGCTGACCTAAGCCTGGTTCCCCACCCAAAGGAGTCAGAAGACCCAGGATGGTGTCCCCTGACACTGCTCTATTTATAATGCAGACAAGATTCCCATTTTTCTCTCCTGCCCCCATGGGTCAGGCTTGAAACCTCTCTCTTGGGAACAGGAAGGACCGATCTCTTGTGATGAAATTCTGATGCTTGGCAACTAACTCATATTTATGTCCATCACAGCATCCCGGGGGTCACGTGACCCGTTTTGCGACCTTCTGACAAGCAAAGTCAATGGGGGAAGCCAGATTCACTTAACAGCCGGGCTACTAACTTATCAACTGCACTGATCCACTTAACAACTGTGGCAAGAAAGGTCGTAAAATGGGGCAAAACTCACTTAACAAATTGCTCACTTAACTACAGAAAGTTTGGGCTCAGTTGTGGTCATAGGTTGAGGACTACCTGTATTCTAACTCCAGGAAGACATCAAAACATCCCCGTCTTTTCCACGGAGTTTCATCTCAGCCCAGAGGCGTTTGTGCCAAATTGTTCTTGCCCTTCACTTCCTTCAGAAACAAACTG